GGATGACTAATTTAAAGTCTGCAAGGGAAGCCACCTGGCTCCATGGCGCAGTGAGTGGTGCTACTAATAGAATATGCATAGTGGGGGTGCGTTCTTCTTATGCAGCGGGTACAGTAGTTCGTTGTATAATCACACTGTCCACACTTTAAATCCTTTGCGGTTTTGTGAGTTAAGAGATGTAGTTTCTGGATATGGTGGTGATGTGTAGCAAAATCATCCTGTGCACATTTTAAAACTTTATGCATACTTAACTTTCTGGTACCGGCATCGGGTTGCGCAAATGACGAATACAGTCGGCAGGACCAGCCATGGCGCACTATACATATGTATAGCCCATATGTATACATTTAAGAACAATTCCCTGTATATAAAGATTAAATAAAGAGCATAGATTAATATTAAAAAAAACATTTGAGACCAAACGAGAATCTCGCTGGTGGTATTGATTAGACTATTTTGTCATGAGATAGATACATTTTTGGGGGAATTTTCGAAAGAAATTCCGCTTTTGTGATGGTTTTGTCCTACGATCTGTGCGCCTGTTCCTCGTCTACTTCGAGAACGCAAACAGACAGTGATGTCAAACGTTAGTTAAACGAATCTACGAGTTTAAGGATCAGCGCTATTGCATATGAGCCGGATTAAAAGTTGTGTTTCAGTTTTCCTAAAATTAATTATAGATATATTATCTTACATAAATTCTTCCAAAGGTATCTTTACTTAATTTATCATTATTAATTCGTAGTGTATAATTTTTGTGAGGTGCGGAAGTTTTTTGAACAATTTACCAAAAGGTGTAAAATGAATAAAAGTGCCAAAAGGGTCCTACAAATTTCGATAGAATGCATTAAAAGCCAAAAAATGTCATTTTCATCTAGAACTCATCGGACAAAAGTAGGGATGGACACGAAATCGAGCTAAACTCGGCTCGGCTCGTAACGAGCCGAGCTTTCGAGTCGAGCTCTACTTATTACATTCGAGCCGAGCATCGAGCCCGCCTGTGTCTTTTTCGAGTCGAGTCGAGTTGCTCGTTTGAAGCTCGACGAGCAGCTCGACTGAATTTATTTATAATGGATATATTAATTTTGCTGTGTGTCAGTTTGATATGTTTACCGTATAAAATGTCACCTACACTTATGTTTTTTAAATGGTGCGATGCAGACTCGGCGGCTGATAGTATTCTAGCAGCTTCATTCATTGCTCAATGCTTCATTGTATAGGAAATGGTATTGCATGTCCCCCCTTATTGCAACTGTAGGTAACCTGTAGACGTGTTTCTGTATTCTGTTTGTCACATTTTCGACGCATGGTGTTTCCTTTTCAGTTCGAATTTGTCTGCATTAGATTAGAGGGTTATTCTGTTTATCGTCTCAATTTTTCAATTCTTGCACAAATCATTAAAAATGAGTGACTTTGATAGTGATGATAGTGTGAGAGATGCGGACTATGTACTTACACAAACTTTAAGTGAACCAATGAGCGATTGTGAAATTAGTGTCAGCATAACTGAAGAAGTTCCGGGCCCGTCTAACGGTTCTAGTGCACAATCGAGTCATAGTCGAAGTAGTAAGTTTTCAATTTACTTTGACTTTCAAGTTTTTCATAGTTATTAAAATTTCTGGACGATTTTTGTAGTTTTTTAACCTTCAAATGTAAATCCTAATGTTTGGAATTCGAACTTAACTCGAGTCGAGTTTTCAAAAAGCTCGGCTCGGCTCGGTTCGAATCCATCAAGAACCGCGACGTCGAAAATTCCGAATCACTGTCCACTGTTCTCATAGGGTAATTAAATAAATTAATTAATTATATAAATAAATTTAAAAAAAAAAGTGTAAGACTGGCCAACTCAAACAAATGTAAGAGCAACTCCAACCCTTTCCCATTTGTGAAAAATAACATTACGAAGTCTCTTACATAAAGTACATGAAATACATTGTTAATTAGTCGGACATTCTTTAGTCCAAAAGGTATTTAAGGTTCTGGATACGGTAACCATCAATGCCGCTAAGTAATTTTGCAACTTCGGTATTTACCTCTGCACGGAAGAAACCGATAGTGACATTCAAAAAAGAAAGATTCATACACAAAGAGTTTGTGCCGCTAATCAATCTAAATGAGTATAATTAATCACATGAAAATTAATAACTGGTCAATCTCAAACAAATCAAAATAGGAATCAGGTGAAACAAGTAAATAACATGTTATATGAAGCATAAACTTAAGTACACGAAAATTGAACAACAATAAAATTAAAACAAATTCAACTAACTGCCCCGTCTGAATGCAGAAAGCAAAGTAGCACTACATTTTACCTTTATGAACTGAACCAAATGTAAAAGTAGCAAAGCTAAATCAAGACCATATTTCCTTGATATACAGACTAACATTGTTTAAAAATTGCTGATATAAAAGTTGTGACACTATTTTAAAATGACAGCATTGCATTTACAGGTTAATGTACCTCCGGCTGTGTCTCTCTATACCTACGCCAACGGTACTTGTTTGAAATTTTGAAATCAGACATCTCGGTAGATGTTTCCACATCTCCTCATTGATCGTTTAGCTTCGTTATTAATTAATCGCAGTGGGCGCAGAATTTTTGATCGAGATTTTCATTTTCTCTCAAAATATGTAAATCTGTACACGAATTTCTATTAAAAGAAACCTTATTATTTAGTTCAATACTTCAGTATCCCAATACTCAACTGTTTATCTGATTTGCCAAATCTTTTGTCAACGGAAGCACAAGTGATAGTCGTCATTTATTGTTCAGAGGAGTTCATTAAAAGGTTGTCAAAATTAACATTTTAACGTTTATTTAAAGTATTGTATTACAATCAGTTTTTCTAGACAAGGCACGTTTTATTTCGTAAAATCATAGTGTAAATAATAGAATAAAAATGCAGTCTTTTCTTACAAAGAAGATCCTTCCCATCAGTTTGTACAAGAGTTACTTACCTTCAGAGTTTATTATAAAATAACTTTCAAATTTATTAATAAAATGTATTGCACCACCATATCTACATTAATATTAGGTTGATAACGCATATTTTAACATTATAGCTTCATAAATTTTTATTAAAGCCGAATTTATTCGCTCACTAATCTTGGGCATACAAAGAGAAATGTTGCAAATGATACCTCAATGACGCTGAGTAATACTCAACGCAGAAATCATCATCTAATTACCTTTAATACTAATTTATAAATTTGAATTGGTAATTAATTGGTTAATATTAACTGACACGAGAATAATTCATACGGGCAATTTATAATTCGCTGGAACCGCGGTGCTTACCTAAATGTTTTCATTTCATAAATTAAGAATTATGAATGTCTACAAGTTTAAGCTGAAATTGACTTGGTCTACGGATCGAAAATAAAAAATGTAGACACCATAAACCAGCATTACGTCTAATTAATCAGTGATGCAAGAAATTTGGCCGTTTTTGATCTAGCTAGAAATACGATTGAGCAAACCGGAGACTAGTTTATATATCGAGCACGGTTTAATTACGCTTCATTTTCAGCGTAGCCTGAAATCAATTTGTGGCTTCACAATACCATGAAATGGGTGTTTTGTGTAGCGTAGCACCTATTTGCTTTTGATTACATTGTTATTGCTTTCGATATTCCTTAATTAAAAACGGTGTCATATCAATATAAACATCGCGCTGTACGCATATTGCGATTTCTAACTAGACGAATAACAATAAATAATGAGGAAATTTTCTAACTAGCGGGGGAGTTGTAGCAAAGTAAAATAAGATTGAGTGGGCAACACGTAAATCTTCGATGAACGATATGGCCTATTAAAAATTAATAAAAAGTCGCCATTAATATTATAAGGTACTATATTAAAGGTTACTAAAATAATAAAGTGTGTTAGTTGTGGGACGGCATTGTATTGATAATCACCACGATCATTAAATTATGTGGGATGAGTATAAATTGGAGGAATTAAAAAATAACAGGAGTAGCCCATTTACAGATTTAAAAGTGCTAGCTGGCTATGTATGTTGATGAATTGTAATGGAAGCTACAATCGTGGTTCTCCCATTTCGACATAAAAGTGACATAATCCGAGGACGATGATTTAGATGAAGGTCTATCGACCATGACTATGACTATGAGTATGTACTGCCACTATCATTACTTTACTGTCGAAAAGCATTGACAATTTCATTATAAATTCATTGGAATCTATTTTTGCTCCGAATTCAATACGTTTTTAGTTGTTAACATAATCGTGCAGGCCGCATATTTCCGCTCTGTCTGTCAGCAACTCACCCGAGTCGATTTTGAACTGGGAGGCGCT